GCCCAGGGAACGTTTTGCGACTTCCGTGGGGATCGCCTGGGCGGCACGTGGGTGCCGGTGCTACACGGTTTCCATGAGCATCTTCACATGCTTGATCACGCAGGGGTGAGAGCCGTCCACGTCATGTGCATTGAATATGACCAGGATGAGGTGCGTTGTCAAAACGCGTTCTTGCCTGGCCCCTTTTCTCACCACCCACCCCATGGTTGGCAATGGCATCCGGGGATTGCCAGCCTTCAGCCGTCGGCGCTCCGCACGGGCGATGTGTTGGTCCCCGATCCTTCGGTTGAAGGTCGTTTTGACCCCTGGACCCAGAGCATTCAGATGTTTGTCCCACCCGTCGTTGCCGGGGCCCTGATGTCGCGTGGTGGTCTCTGGTGCGTTATGCTTCTACTTGCCTGCTCGGCCCCCAGGGTCGACGCCATGCAACAGCCTCTAGCTTTTTCCTTCAATGCCTTTCGTGTTGGTCGGTTTCCATGGCGGGAACATCACCAGACTGCCGACCTCACCTCACTCAGCACTCAGGACAGCATTGACACTGTTTACCTGAGCCCTTTCTCTGGTCCGGGGCCGGTGGTGACCCTTCCGGCGGCCTCATCAGTCGCAGACTGGTCAGAAGCTTTGCTCCAGCAGGATCCCGCTTGGGGTGCTTCAGCTTGCCCGGTGTGGCCTACGGTTTCGGCCGGAGCAATGATTGCTGTGCCCCGGCCGCCTTCTCTCGATCTGGTATGTGTGCATGTCACCTCGCACTTGGAGCATTTTGCGATTTGCATTCCCCGTGTGACTACCATTGCATGGGTGGTCGGTGCCCTGCGCAACGCACGAGCCCTGGATGTCCTGTCCCTTCGGATCCCGCCTGCCCTTGGTCAGAGCCCAGGCGATAGCCAGGATGAGGTCTCTTGGCGCACTGGGGATTTGTTAGTGGCTCTACCGCCGGATGCTTTCACTGGCCTTTTTCAGACCCCAGTTTTCTCGCGAGCCGAGCAGCTGCGCCACTGCGCCATTTGGTCTTTGGACTTCTGGCTGGCTGCCAAATC